GTTCTCCGAAAGCGAAATATTTCCTGTTGCGCACACCAAACAAGTCAGTCCAAGACTAATGACGTGGCCATCAGCTGCTAAAATATTCGCTGCTAGTGTTAGTGGAGAGAAATGGTGCGCCTGCGCGTAAGGCTGTAAGGGAAATGGATGCAGCACGATTGTAGTAATCAGTCATTAGCCAATGTATAACAGGATATTGTAAAAATTAAGTTACAAAATTTTTATTAAAACGTTTCCTACATACCGTTATATTGGCTGGGCCATAAAAGACTGTGGGCCGCGAGTTTGACATGCTCGGCCTACGGTGGCCCCCAGTCCTGCAGGAAAACAGGCAGGACAAGGTGTCAGGAAACAGCACCCCAAAATAGTTGCAGCCAATGTTTACTGAGCACCTGCTACGTTCACTCCCATGATCTTCATACAACTGCGTGAAGTCGTTTGCTGTAGCGAGGAGACTGAGCACAAACAAGTTGAGGAACTTTCCTGAAACTTCACCGCCCAGACTGGCCAAGCCCAGACTCCCCTCATTGTATCCCAGGCGCCACCCAAGAGTGAGTGTGCATGATGTGCCTGTGCGTGTGTGTGTGTGTGCGCGCGTGTGTGTTCACCAGTCCTGGGAAGCAGGGCTCAGCAGTGTGACTGGCAACTGGGAACAGAAAGTGAGGAGACCAGGACTGCCCGCTGCTCTCTCTTCCCTGCCCCTCACCCCTCCGACCCCATCACCACGGCCTCACCTTTGTCTGAGTTAAAAGTCATCTTCTGAGGACATGTGCGTTCAGGGGTCTGAAGCAAGGAACCCTGGGAGTGTCCAGGCCTAGCCAGGTGTGCGGCTGTGCTGGTGGGCAGGTGGGGAATAAATGGATCCATCTTTCTGCTCCATGACACATGCTTCAGAGTTTTATTTTTTACTAGAGGCCTGGTGCATGGATTCGTGCACTGGTGGGGGTCCCTCGGCCTGGCCTGCAGGGATGGGGCTGAAACCAGCTCTCCGACATCCCCTGAGGGGTCCTGGATTGCAAGAGGGCGGTTCTCGGGTGACGCACCCCGGAATCAGGCTCCCTCCTCTCCGTCACCCAAGAACCACAGCTGCCAAGTCACCACAGCTCGGCAGCTCCTGTGTTGAGTGTCTGCCCCCTGGTGGTCAATGTGCATCATAGCTACTGGTCACGCAGTCGAATGGTCGGCCAGTTGCTTAGGCTTTTATATATAGAGATTTTTTTAAAAATCTGTGAAAGTATTACACAGGTCCTCCTTTTCCCCCATTAGCCTCTTCCAGCCGCTCCCATCCCCCCCTCCCCAGGCCCTCCCCAGCCCATTGTCTGTGTCCACAGGTGATCATCTATGCACACAGGTTCATTGGTTGATCTCTTCCCACCCTCCTCTGCCTTCCCTCTGAGGTTCAACAGTCTCTTCATGAGTCTATGGCTCTGGGTCTATTTTTGATCATTAGTTTCTGTGATTTACTAGATTCCACCTCTGAGTGAGATCATGTGGTATTTGTCTTTCTCTGATTGGCTCATTTCACTTAGCATGATACTTCCAGCCCCCTCCATGCTGTTGCAAAGGGTAAGCGTTCTGTCTTTTTTATTGCCACGCAGTATTCCATGGTGTAAATGTACCACAGTCTTTTAATCCACTCATCTGCTCATGGGCACTTGGGCTGTTTCCTGGTTCAGAGTTTTATGTTCAATTTTATGTCTGGGCAGAGTTGGGTCGAGGCTGTCCCTTCTAATCTGTGCACAGGACTCCCCTGGGTGCTGCTCTCAGGAGCCTTCTTGCTGCCCTGCCTTTGCCATGTGCTCTCGAGAATGAGGCTCGGGCAGAGAGGGCAGGGAGTGCACGCTGGCTGGGAGTCAGGGCACCAGGGCGCTGCCCATGGCTCTGCCACCAGCATGGTGAGTGACTTTCAGGTCTTTGCTTCCCCACTGGTGCATGATCAGAGCCAGGGAGGGACACGGGAGGTTGGCCAGCCAGGGAGTGACCGCGAGAGGGCTCCAGGGCGTGTCTGGCCTGTCTCATTCAGTCCTGATTGGCGGATCCCAGCAGCAAGCTAACCTACCAGTCAAAGCATCTGTCATAGAGAATGCATGTCATAGAGAGTGGTTCTCATAGAGAATGGTTGAGTGACCTTAGCATATCATTAGCATATTATGCTTTGATTGGTTGAATGGCCAACTGGTCGACTGGACACTTAGCATATTAGGCTTTTATTATATACTAGTGGCCCGGTGCACGAAATTCATGCACGGAGGAGGGTGTGTTCCTCAGCCTGGCCTGCACCCTCTCCAATTTGGGACCCCTCGAAGGATGTCCTACTGCCAGTTTACAGGGATCGGGCCTAAACCAGCAGTCAGACATCCCTCTTGCAATTCTGAACTGCTGGCTCCTAACCGCTCACCTGCCTGCCTGCTTGCCCCCAACCCCCCCCCCCCCCCCCGCCAGCCTGATCACCCCCAAACTGTCTCACCTGCTGGCCTGCTCGCCCCTACCTCCCCTCCCCACTGGCCTGCTCATCCCCAACTGTCCCCTTGCTGGCCTGATCACTCCAAACTGCCCCGTCCCCGCTGTCCTGATCACCTCCAACTGACCCCCACTGATGGCCTGCTTGTCCCCAACTGGCCCCCCTGCTGGTCTGTTTACCCCCAACGGCCCTGCCCCCCACCAGCCTGATCACCCACAACTGCCCTCCCCTCCTGGCCTCTAACCGCCTCTACCTTGGCCCTGCCCCCATGGCTTTGTCCAGAAGAACATCCAGAAGGTCTCCTGGAAGGTCTCCCAGTCTAATTAGCATATTACCCTTTTATTAGTATAGATATTCTTAGAAAACTAAATATGTAAATTGAACTTTTATAAATTAAACCCTAGAAATGCATCATTCTACGTGAAATATTTTTACTTAGTAAAAAAAATCATATTTTAATTGACCACTTTTGATCAGTTGTATCATGCCCGGTACTATCCGCGGTTTCAGGCATCCACTGGGGGTCTTGGACCCCACAGATACGAAGAGACTACTGTACATCTCAAATTCCTACACTGACTAGATAATTATTACTCATGCGATCTGCAATGAATTTTGTTAGTCACACCTGTTTCTTTAAAGTCAGATTCACCTATAGTGTCATATTTTGCAGTCACAACTGCTGGACTTTTTAAAAAAACTATTCTGAAAGCTTTACATAAAGGTGTAAACCTGAAATAAAATCCAATTATTTTATATTAAGTTTATTTTCAAAAATCAGACATACTTCCTTCTTTTTCCTTTCTTCTTCTTTTCTCTTCTTTTCCTCTCTGATTTGGGCCAACCGCTGCTTCTTACGTTCCAGCTCTGCCTTTAATTCACTTTTGTCCGACATGTTTGTGACCTGAAGAAGCACATAATCATATACAATCGTCATTACATTGGTAAAAGCAGCACTCTTTTCAAAAATGTGTCTTCAACAAGTGTCTCAAGAGGCCGTGTAGTTCAATGCTATCTAAAGAGAACATGTAAACTCTAATTTTAAAACAATGGAAGCATATACATTACTAAGACTTGAAAAACATTATGAACAAACGTACATAAGGAATATTATTCAGCGTTAAGCACAGTAGCTAGCACACTGCTCTTTAATGTTCACAGGCTCAAATATAACACAATACCTGGCTCTTAAAACAGAGGACGTGGATTGGCATGAAGAAGCTTAACAGGCTAAAAACCATACAGATCAAATCTATTACCAGAGTTTTCATTCATTCCTAGGAATTTGATAAAAACACCGTGTGGTCACACACAACGTTCCTGTAAATTCTACAAGTGCAATGTCATCGTAGTATTTTGGACAAGCAAAACACAAACATCACCCTCATTTGCTGTCGAATATACTTAGTTGCAATTGCAGTAAATGGACGCTTAGTCAAAGCCCGGAAACAAAGTCCAGCCGCTTAACTACACCCAGCTGACGGCCCGGCCCGCGCATCCTCGCTGGAGCCCGAGCCGCCGTGACTCACACACGGTCACTTTCCTAAAACTCCAAGGGAGAGAATGTCTCTGCACGTTGTGCTGCAGTCTCCGCGTCTGGGAACTTTCCAACACACAAAGGGGAGGGAAGACGCAGCAATGACTTTTATTGACAACAGGAGCCAGGCGACAGGGAGTCCTTCTCCCCTGGGGTCCCGGCCCAGGGGGCGCGTCCGGGATGGTGCGTCGGAGGGGGGACCGGTGGGCGCGG